TACTTCGTGTATGATTGCATAGATGCTTGTGTGGTGCTTTATGATCTTGTTCAGTTGGTGAGTTTTACGTGGTGAATCAAGAAGTAGATCTTTGAAGATTTGGACTCAAAGAAGGATCTAAGTTTAAGGCAAGTATAGTATGGGATCTTTTTTGTTGTCCTATACTCCTTTAATCATTTAATTCATATACATATGTCTACCTTGGCAACCGTAGTAATTTTCCTAGCTATTTGATATCCTGGATTCCTTTGAGTTATTGCATTGGGTAGTATGATGCTAGTGCTCAACTAAAGACCATGATCTTATAACTTGACTAATGGTATATGCAATAAACATTAAAAGATGTTTTTTTAGCAACATAGAACAAGGGGGCTAGAGCATTGGGCTATTTTTATGGTGCTCTAGATTCCTCTCCCTAAAGACTTAACTGTAAGTGATCATTCGGGACTTACAGTACAACTGTAAGGGCTACATGGCTCTGGCTTCAGCTCAGTGTGAGGACTTTTTCTAGCTTGTTAGTGGTTATCTTCATTAGCGTAAGAATGGCTTGACAAATCAGGTATATGACAGCCTCTACTCTTATGTGTATAGGCGTGATGGAATTGTGCCATTCGATAGGGGGTTCCTATATCTGTTTGTCGAGTGAATCTAATGGCCCTAACTTGTTAGACGAACCTTTGAAAGGCTTCATAGTGACCCCTGCCTGCTTACCTTGGAAGTGTTTTGGGAGTAATTAACCTATGCATATGGGTATCATGACTCGGTGAAAGTGTACAACATCTGCAGAGTGTAAAACTAGTATATTAGTCGTGCTCACGGTCATGAGCGGTCTTGGAACCCTTACGGAATAGATGATGAATTATGATGATACTGATGATAAAGATGCTCATTAATGATACTATTTATGCTATTTATTATTCATGTTTACCTGATCATGTGTTTATATGAGCTTGTGGATAAACTTGTTGACACCCAATTGTTAAAAGATGACTCATTAAAAGCTAATTGTAGTTAAACCAGTGTTAGCCTTTTGAACCTCATAAACCCTGTTATATTTGTTGAGTATGGCATGTACTTATGCTTGCTTTACTTTTCAAATATTTGGATAAAAATCCCGGATGGGTACCAGATTGCTAGAGTTTGGAGGAAATATGCTTTGTGATCAACCAGTCAGTTGTTCCTGTGGAATTGGAGTCTTCACCCGAAGATCGGAGTTGTCTTTTTCCGCTGTTTGTTGTCTAAGGTTATATCCTTTATACTAAGTACGTTATATATTGAACATTGTCTTTCGATATTACCCTTATTTGTAGTTATATGTGAGATTTGACTTTCTGGGCTCACATATGGTGTGTATCTGGTTTTGTTCTTAAAACCGGGTGCTACACAATCCTAAAGGCATATGGTATATGCTAGGGGTTTTTATTTCACCGGTCAAGACACGCTAGAGTGCATGGTCAGGTTTAAGATGAATAGTCATACTATTAAGAGGGGAACTCTAATGCAAAACAGTTATCTAGTGCCTAGATTTGAACTAACTTTGCATATGCACTGGACCTAGTGACAAAGTGAGATGCAGGGGAAGGATGTTTTTGAAAAGCTAACTCGGTGCCTAAGGTGAAAGTGTTTGTGTTGGAACACATTGGAGTTCAAATTTTGAATTGCTTTGCAAAAAATATGAATTGGTATTATTTTTCGTCATCCATCAACAATGTCTGGTGCCCAGTGTGTGTGGGGGTGAGGGGGCTTACTGGAGAATAGGGTGCCTTGTGCTGATTTAACTGTAGACTAGGGTACTCACTAGAAATGTCTGGTGGTACCCATTGGAGAGCACTGAAGAATGCGTTAGAGTTAGCAGCGCGTGGGAGATTTAAATGAGGACACTAAAAGTCTGGTGGATGATCACCGAAGATTTCTTGTGCCCCTTGGACCTCTTGGGTTGGCATACAACAAGGGTCTAGGTGTCACAGGATATGTCTAGTGACCCTCACTGAAGAGGCACCAGAGAATCAAGAGTAGAGCCGTTTGAATTCCTAACGGCTAGTTGTCTGTGGTCGAGCTGTTGGGCAGTCATCAGAAATGTCCTGTGGTAGCGCCATAGTGACCACCGGAGAGAGTGCCTGTGGACAATTTTTTAGATCAATTTCTAGTCATTGGATCTACATAACATAAGTTTCGATGGGTGTTCTCTGGTGGTCACCAGAGATTTCTGATGACCTCAAAAACAACACACCACCAAGCTTACAACGGTTAGTTTTTGATGGACTTATAAATAGGGGGTGTGGTCAGCCCTTGGGCACTCTCTTGGCCTTCCAAATGAACACAAAGATCCTTGAGCTCTTAAGAACGCCTCCCTATCACTCTCTTGCTCGATGGTTGATCCAAAGTGAGGTAAGGAGAGATCTAGTGCATTTGCTTAACTGATTTGCATCTAGTGGCACTAGTTGATCGACTTGACATGGATTTCTTCTTACTCTTGGTAGTTTTCGCCACCTAGACGGATTGGAGGAGCAAGGACTATGAGCATCGTGTCGTTGATTGTTCGGTGGCTCAGATCGGTTGATTTGTGAGGGATTTTGTGCTCACCTCTTGGGAGATTGCGAAGGGCAATTCTAGTGGAATGCTCGAGGCTAGTTGGAGTGTTTTTTGTTGATTTGATTCTTGCGACACCTAAGTTGTGGGTCAAGCTTGAGAGCTTTGTTAGCGCATACATTATTCACCTAGAGACTTGCCTCAATGAGGACGTAGGCTGCCGGTAAGCAACCAAAGCTCAGGGATAAATCTTGTCTCCCCCTTGCCTTTGGTGATTTGCAAATTCTACAGTTGTGCTCTTATTTCACATGCATAGCTTGAGTTGTCGTTGTTTGCTTTGTGTTGCTCTCTAGTGCGGTAGTAGCTAGCTCTAATCGGTAGGGTAGCTAGTTTTAGTTGCTCTTCTTGTTTAGCTCACTAGGAGTAGCTTGTTCAGTTGATAGCCTCTTTGCGTGATTATGTGTGCTTTAGTGGTAGATCACCTCGCTACTAGATTCGTTGCAAAATGCATCGATAAAACCAGACTTTTCTGACCTGGCCAATCCACCAACCAGGCTAGTAGCTATACCAACATCCAATCACGCCCTAAATAGAGCCAAGACGTTTTGGAGTGCGCTTGGTTCATATTTTTAGGGCGGTAAGGCGAGACATGGCGAGCCACTCATTTGAGTCGACTAGGCGACGCCTAGGCAACCATAAGATAAGGCAAGACAACGCCTTACCATTCTAAGAAATAGGAAAATACCAGCACGGAATAGGCAAGAAAAAGAGGAAAAAGGAAAAACAAAAACTAGAAAAGGGCAAATGTAAAGAGAAGTGCTTGGCCTAGCCCAGGCCAATACGACCCACGAGAGCGCCCTTATCCTTCTTATGTCATATCTCATCTCACTTCTCATGGACTTGCAGATGCAGGCGCCCGCCAAGACGCATCCTCCTTCACGCAGCGCAACACATTGTGTCTCTCCGCTTGACGATGCAAATGCAAGACCGCCCGCATCTCCCTCTCCTTCATGCAAGCGCACCCACGATCTCCTCTCTTATGGCTCAAGCGGTCTGGCATTGCCCCTCCCTCCCTCCTGTTGCTCTTGGTAGCATGCGCCGCCATACCGCCTCCGCTCCTTCCACACCCTCTACTGCGCTGCTCTCAGATCCCCATCTCGATCAATCGCCGCCTCCGCCCAGCAGATGACCTGTGTAGCGTGGATTTGGTGGGGATGAGCGAGAGGTAGCTGCATGGCCTCTCCCTATCCTTTTTCCTATGCTTTTGGCTAGGCATCAGGGACATCTTACTCCCTGCGAGCACCTTGTCGTCTGGCGGACGCCTAAAAAAACCTTGGCATGGTTTCCAAGCCAAAGAGATTTGCCTTGTCTTGTCTATCCGCACCGTGACAAGAAGGTTGTCGAAGCTAGAGAACCGTTTTGGCTCCCTCACGTAAAGCAAGGTAAAAGCTTACTTACACAGATTTTAAGAAAATCTTGTTTGGTATCCAAAGAACTTAGATCTATATTTTTGCTAGGCAAGGCTACACAGTAATGAGCAAGAAAACCAAACAGCCCCTTTAACTTTAACCGGTAGTTCATACGATCCATGTTGGCATGATTTTCTTCGTTGTGGAATGTACTTATGTCCCGTTCGTTTAGGCTAGTTTGGCTTATAAGCCATGTCTGAAAGTACTGTTGACTGGTTTAGTGTGAGAGAAAAATACTGTTCGTTGGCTGATAAGCTAGATACGAGCAAACGAACATGCTATTAGATAGTTGGGAACATATCTAGTGCAAACCAACCTCTCCGTGCAAACCGTGCAAACCAACTGCGGGGGAGAGGTGGAAGAGGGGATTTGCAAAAGTGTAATTACGCCCGCTCCTAATTACACTTTTGCAAATCCCCCCTCCCACATCTCCCCTGCAGTTGGTTTGCATGGTTTGCATGGAGAGATTGGTTTGTACTAGATACATTGTCTACATAGTTTTGCTTTTTGTGGGTGCATGCAGAAAGCTGAAGGGTGAAGGAAGAAGGCGTACGTATATTACGCCTACGTGGCTAACCTATTACTAGTATACTGTACACTCCTATACGGCGAAAATGTGAATGTGAATGGAATAGGAGTATACCGCCGGCGCCCCTGGGGATGGAAACGCAAACCACGGCGCGGCGCACGCAGGATTCGCCTTCGCGCTCTTTCCTCCTTTCCCAGTTTCCCTCCACTCGCCGTCTCCCCCCAACCGCTTCAAAATTTGAAAACCGATGCTCATGTCACCGCACGGGACGGCTAGGATTTCGCCGCGGCGCCTCGGCCGCCGTGTCCGCGCCCAAACCGCCCGCCTCGCCCCCGCTCCAGGGCCGGACGGAGGAAAGAAATAAAAAGGACGGAGAAGGACGTCCTCCACGTTTCTCCATCGCCAATCGCCGGCCGACTCTCCCCTTTCCTCTCCAGTTCTCCAGTCGTTTCTTTCCCCCACGCGCGCTGGCCATGGCCATCTCGGAGGACCCAGAGGGAGCCGCGGGCGATGGTGGCGGGGTGACGAAGCGGGGGAGCAAAGCGCGGGGGAAAGGCGGCGCTAAGGGGCGCGGGAGGCCCAAGCGGCAGAGCGAAGACAGGTCCTTCGTGGCGCCGGTGATGGATGGGGTGGCGGTCGGGGACCGGGTGCTCAGGGAGAGGAGGCACGCGCCCAACGTCTTCTGCGAGCGCGACACGGATGACGACGATGAGGTGCTGGGATAGCTCTCTCTACTTTTTTTTTTTTGGTTTTCTTGTGGGATTTGCAACGTGCTTTTCGCGCTCTCTCTTTGTGTGTTTCCAGTTTCCCCATTTTTCTCTAAAAAAAGTTTCCCATTTTTTCCTGGAGCAGGAAAATGAGAAAAAATAGCCTTCCTATCATTTGATACGATTTACTGTTTCCTGGATGAACGATTTAGCGCATTAAATAAATACAGATAAAGAAAACTGCCTTTTCTTTAAACGAAAGAAATTCCCTTTACTTAGGGATTGAAAAAAAAACTAGTATTGTTCAGTCACTCGAGGGACTTTTCTGATGATTCTTTGCTCTACTATGATTTATAGTAAAGGAAAGGAAAGGCTTCTAACTTTGACATACTGTCTGTTCCCTCCTCCCCCTCCACATAGTAGCAGAAATTTCTCTTATTCCTTTTTTTTACTGCGTATGTATGTCTTGTGTCTCGTTCTCTCAAATACATTTACTTGCCATTGTATTGGATATTGGTTAATTCTTGTCGGGTGTGTTCTCTTAATGTAGTGGGCTAATTTCTTGGCCGGTGTAATGTCAGGAGACTGCAACCAACCAATCCAAGCGTCAGAGAAAGAAGAGAAATGATGCTGGCAAGAAGAGGGGGCCTAGGAAAACCAAACCAGAACATGCGGACAGCAAGGCTCACTTCCCCAACAGCAAATGCCACGGTGACAGGAAGGGGGTATGTTACTTTCAATCTTCTGCAACAGTTGATCACTATAGTTTTGTACCCATGTTAGCATGTTGCCAATTTTACCATGTACTATCTGACAGTTCTTGACAACAAGAATCTTTAGTTCTTTACAAATTTTCTAAATGTTGTCTGAAACATACAAAACCCTGTCACAAGTTCCAGGTTCTATTAGGAATGGTTTTGTTGTTCTCTATTTGCCCTTGTATAAATCAAAACCTTAATGTCGATTAGTAAATATGTTTTTGAGCTTGTTTGTTGTAACTAGCAATAGTGCAGTGATTATCCAGTTGTGTGATTACTATACTTCCTCTCTTGTATGTTCCCTTTGTGTTTCTGTCATTTATTATATTAAAAAATAAAATAAAGAACATCTTTTTCCTAGCGGCTAGTAGTTCTGTGGTACCTTTCTGTAACACCTTAGTTTTGGTGTTTTTGAGTTTATATTTCAATTTTCTTTGAATGTTGTAGCGTTTTGTTTCTTGGGCCATAGGATGCTAAAGGAATTGCCACATTTGCTGTAACACCTCAATTTTAATGCTTCTGGTGTATTGAAAGAATGCTGTAGGCTTTAAGTCCATTTACTTGCAGGATGGTGTTGAGACAATTAGGGGCAAGGACTCATGGAAGGGTGAGGTTTTACAGACTGCAAAGAAGAGGAAGAAAGGAGATGCAGGGACGGTTTCTGTTACAAAAAGGTTGAAAAGAGAGGATGAAGAACAAAGGAAGGCCTTATTCTCCAAGCATAAAGGTTGTGATGAAACTGATAGGGTAAGCAACTCATGAGCTGTTTATGGAATGCTTTTCTGTGAGTATTTGATGAATGTAAGTGTTGTTTCAATTGTCTAGAAACGGAAGAAGATGTTGACTGGGGATAATGCCCTGATGTGCCACCAGTGCCAGAGGAATGATAAAGGGAGGGTGGTCTGGTGTAATTCATGCAGCAATAAGCGCTTCTGTGTGCCATGCATTGAAAGATGGTGTGTCAATTGCTCACGATCTTTGTGTCTACTAACATGATTGCACATCATAACTTTCTTTGTAATATGACATTTACATACATATATAAATTATATACACATGGTTTATTTTGTAATTGTATTATACGCATCTGCTATTTTTTGTTTTATTTTGTGCAACTGCTTTTTGTCTACTGTGCTTTAAAAATTATGTCTTTTCCTTCTAGTATTCATTTCATGTGGCTATGTTATTTGATCTAGTGTATTGTGAAATGCTAATTTGTCTTAAACTACTAAACAGGTATCCTAATTTGTCAGAAGATGAATTTGCTGCAAAATGCCCATATTGTCGCAAGAACTGTAATTGCAAGGGATGCCTACGAATGCGAGGGGTTGAAGAGGTTCATGCCTAGCATTCCATCTCTTTTCTCTTTCTTCTCAGTTCTGCTTACTAAATATTTTTCTTCAATTTTTTCCTTTCTAGTCTTAATTAATGACTTACCATTTCTCATGAAGCAGCCTCCAAAGAAGGAAATTTCTGAAGAAAATCAAATCTCTTATGCTTGTGATGTTGTTCGCTTGTTGCTTCCCTGGTTGAGAAAACTGCGACAGGAGCAGATAGAGGAGAAGAAATTGGAGGCTAAAATAAAAGGTAGTGTGTTCTGGACTTCTATTGTTGTGTGCCACAAGTTGGTAAGTGAGATTGCTGTTCATGCTAATTTGTTTCTACTGCAGGTGTTTTGGTTAATGATATGAAGTTGGAACAAGCTGAATGTAATCTAGATGAACGTGTCTACTGGTTCGTTCTTTCCTTATTTCCTTTCTGCCACAATCTTACAGCAGCAAGCATCTGATCTCTTTTCTTGTTCTTCCAATGTAGCAATAATTGTAAAACTTCTATAGTTGATTTTCATAGAAGCTGCAAGTATTGCTTTTATGATCTGTGCCTTGAATGCTGCGGGGAGATCCGCAAAGGTGAGATTCCTGGAGGAGAAGAGATAACGAAAGTAAAGCCTGAAAATAGAGGCCGGGATTATCTTTTTGGTACTACTAAGTCAAAGGATGGGAGTAAAGGGTTCTCCTTGAGGAGGTGCAGCTCAGAAAATGAGCCTTCCAATGGAATAGGTTCTAGTGAGGGGGCAAGTAACTCTCTGGCGCTGTGGAAAGCAGAAAGTGATGGTAGCATACCTTGCCCACCAAAGGAGCTAGGAGGCTGTGGTGGTTCGATGTTGGACCTCAAGTGCTTTTTTCCAGAAAAGATGCTTTCCAATTTAGAAGAACGAGCTGACAGAATTATGAGGAGTGAAGTATTTGCAAACGCAGTAGCCAACAGAAGTGATCGGTGCCCTTGTTATGACCATTCAGGGAACATAAGAACTCAGGATGTGCGAGCGGCTGCAAATAGGAAAGGCTCAAGTGATAACCACCTGTACTCCCCAGTTGCCACTGCTATCAAGGAGGATGACTTGGTGCACTTTCAGATGCATTGGTCAAAGGGTGAACCAGTTATTGTTTCTGACGTTCTACATTTGACTTCTGGTCTCAGTTGGGAGCCATTAGTTATGTGGCGGGCGTTGCGAGAGAAAAAGACTAATGGTGACGTAGAAGATGAGCACTTTGCTGTCAGGGCAGTAGATTGCCTCGATTGGTGTGAGGTCAGTTCTATTTCATTGAATGTTTTAGTGCATTGGGTGATCTTTTTTTGTATATATTTAAGTGTTTTCATTTGTATTCCCCTTAGATGTGCCGTTACTTTTCCTTTTGTAGACTTTCCTAGGTGCATTTAAGAGGGCTAGGTTCACTTCCTTGACTTGTTCATGTTTGTGCTCTGCTGAATGTCTGTTCATGGTCATTCAACTCTGCTAGAAGATTTCTTTATTACTATGACAAGAAACAAGACATGCTCTACAAGTAAAAAAAGTACAATGTTGAAATATCATTGAATTTGAATTCTATTTCAATTTTTATGGAATTGTGTTATCTGTTTGCATGCAGATAGACTGCTCACAGCTCTGTTGTTAACAGCTAATTCAAAAATATTAAGCACTGGCATGCACAATTTTGTGTTGCAGGTGGAAATTAATATACACATGTTTTTTGTGGGATATATGAAAGGCAGAACGCACACCGTGGCACACTGGCCTGAGATGCTTAAGCTAAAGGACTGGCCACCATCTAGTTCATTTGATCAGAGATTGCCTCGCCATGGTGCTGAGTTTATCAGTGCATTGCCATTTCCTGAGTACACTGATCCTCGATATGGTCCGCTAAATCTTGCAGTCAAGCTTCCTGATGGTGCATTGAAGCCAGATCTTGGACCAAAAACTTACATTGCTTATGGATTTTACCAGGAGTTGGGCAGGTGATTCTGTGACCAAGCTTCACTGTGA